CAAATACTTAAACTAATAACAAAACATACTTACAGTCGCTGATTCAGAAGCGCCAGATTGTCATAGCAAAGTCGGAATTTTCCCTTTTTTTTTTTTTAGAAATAGCCTTTGTGCACGGCCAGCCTTGTACTCTTCTAGGTTAAAATTCGAACATCTGAGTTGTGCTGTTCTGTTGTAAATAAATCTTAACCAATGATCCCTAATGGCATCTACTTCCGGAAGGCCAAATAAAGTGCTTTTGCTTTCGCACTGAAACACAGCGTCTCCCTGACATGGCTGCATCAACACTACTGCTGTTCCTGAAACCACGCCTTCTTTCTTTGCGTGAACATTTGGGCGGCGTTATGCAAATCTTCCCACATAGTGAGATAGATATGTGTGGGCGTGTTAGAACGAGCCGCTTTAGGTAGGTGTGGCTGACTCTGAACTTTTATAAAGAATATCTCTTTGGATTTGAGACTTTAGTCTTTGCAACTTTACAGATCTTCTTTATGCACCAAGAGCTTGTAACACTCCAAAGAGAAAGGAAAAATTTAAATCGCATCATATGACCCCTTTAATCAGCTGCTCATAGTGGCAGTATTGGGCTGGCTCTTCCAGGTGAGATATCTCATTTTAAGTGAGGCTTAATTAATTGAAATTGTCCAAAAAATATTTAAATGTGCGATGTGGCCTGTTTCTAAACTGCAGAACACAGCTGTCTAATTAAATACATAAAAGCTGAAATTTTGTGTGCACCATGCGATGCCATCGTTTATTAAAAAGTCCAAAAATATAAAAGTTTATTCAAAAATTTACCCAAAATGCACTTAAATAGCCATCTGAATCTACTATTAAAGTCAAAGCAGGTGTAAATGCAAAGGTAACTGGGTTATTTTTCCACTTCTGCTGACAGAAAGAGGTCTGAGTTTGGTAAGCAGCAGCTGAACATGGGCTAAACATGACTTAATTATTTCAAGGCATGATTTGATAGTTTGTTTTTGCACACTGTTGAAGATAAGAGCAGCTTTTTTAATGCATTATGAAGTGTTAGTGGTTCAACGGATCACAAAACTCACGGTTCGGATCATATTATGTTTTTTGAGTCACGGATCGGATCGTTTTTTGGATCAGCAAGGAAAAAAAAATATTTCAGTGTAACTTTGCTTTCCATTTATTACTTAAGCTAAGTACTTTGATACCACAGCAAAAACTATTAACCTAACTAGAAAGTTCAAACATGATTAAAGAGGTGAATAGCCAGTAAAAAATAAGAGCAAATACACAAATCGTTCACTTAATACATAACCGACTGCTTTTACCAGAATGATTGTCGAGATGGGTATTTTGTCATAATTTTATGTGTATGTGTCTGTTCAAACACAAGGAGATGAGAAAGAGGAATCAGTTCGGTGTTTGCGCACTGTGTGAAACGTCTTTCTGTGTGTGCACGCTTCATGTGTGTGCGGCTGTGCACATAGAAAGCAGTGCGCGAGTACCGAATCGAGTTCTCTTTCGCCTGTTCTTGCGCTGGAATGGTTCAAAATCATTGTGTGTAAACACGTACAAATGATACACTTTCACTCTATTATGGTTACATGTTGCAATTAATCCATGGATCACATGAGTGCTGAACTGTGGGGCCTGGTCCGTACGATACGTTCAACCCCTCATAATTATTTATCATATCACAATTGACCAAATCGTGCAGCATGGACAAAGAGATGGGTTATGAGCCTGTCAAATCTTTCTATAACTGTCCCTCTTTTAGATCCCCATCTTCCCTGAAGATCTCTTCTTCAGCACAGATCTAAAGGAAGAAGTGAAGGAACTGGAGGATATTACAAGCTCTCAGGGGCTGGTAAGTGGGTCACTTATTTTTTGCTCCGGATACATTGAACCTTTTCCTTTAAGGAGGGAAAGAATTGTTTATCTTTTCTTTTTTTCTGAGTTCACAATGTGTATAATACTATATAATCCTATATTTACTTTTCAGGACACCCTCCCATTAGTGGACCAACAGCTTCTCTACACTTGCTGTCCATATTTAGTTTGGAAAAAAATGTGCCTTAAAACGGCCAAGCTAAACGATTCTATCTGCGCTCAGCTGTGTGACTCAGGCATGCAGGGTCTAGAGAGAGCAACCAGGTCAGCAGCTCTCTTATTGCTCATTGCATATATATCATGCTGTTGGACATGTTTTGGACTAGTTGTCCTCGGTCACATCCTCTCATGATAGGTTTTGCAGTGAGATTGCCCCTGGAGCTGTCAGAGTACTACTTCCTCTGGAGACCTCTCCTTCTGTGAGTAAAACAATCACTATTCATCAGTTAAATCCATTTAAAACCCTGTTGCAAAAGAGAGATATGCTCAAACATAGTGTTTGTCTTGGGTGTACAATGTTGTACAGTAATACTATCAGGTTCATTTATTTACTTTGCGATATAATTAAAGGGGTCATATGATGTTGCTAAAAAGAACATTAATTTGTGTATTAACTTGTTTGGCTACAGAAAAGGCTTGCAGCTGGCTCTCCTCCAACATCACAAGTAGTGAAGCCTAATTTTATTGAAATTTTAAAATGGCAAATGGCCTATACTTCATATGTAGCATGTTTTTTTTTTTTTTAAATAAGGATCTGAAATATGCATGTTGGAATTTATCCCTCAGCACTGCTGAAGATGGAGTGGAAGAGTGCGTTTGAGAGGGTGATGAAGAGTGAGCCCTCATCCGTAAGTTTGGATGCTGAAGAGGGCGATTGATCAAGCAGGATTCAGCAGGTCCAGAGGAGTTCCTCAGGGCTCAGTGCTGGGTCCTCTTGTGTTTCAGACTGCACCCATAAAGTTCCACTGGGATCTGAAGTCATGATTGAAATAAAGGTTATTATTGCTAATTGGGTGTCTGAAAAGTTGTGCAAATGAGTTCAAACAGATTAATTGAAGACTGGTGGATGGCAGATAAAATGGTGATTTATACAAAATATAATTTAATGGTAAAAAAAGAGACATCCACAAAATTGCTGAAATCAAACACAATTCACACAATTGCTTATACTCGCAAAACAACATTTTTTTTTATTCTTAGACAACATCTGAAGTGTTATTGTAAATTAAATATAAAGCTATTTAAAATAATTTTCATTACTTTAAATAGTTAAAATAATCTATGTCTTCTAATAATACTACAGGCTGTAACAAGAAAGCAGTGTGGAAACCTATGGTAATTTAGGCTAATTTTCAAATATGAGTGAGTCAGATCACAAACCATGTTGTCTCATATTTCAGGAGTTTCTGAGTGTTGCTGTAGGACCCAGATCTGATGAAGAGGTTTTCAATGTTCATCAGATTGAGTCTTTGCTAGACAGAGTGGGACAAACACTTGGATGCAGAAAAGTAATCAGAACCCCATACCTCATACCTTTCAGCGTACTTGATTCAAAACTTTATAATCCAGATCATTCAGTGTTTTAATACTTTATTTTGAATTGTTTACTTTACGTACACATTCTCTCCTTTGTCCTGGTCTGTTGCTAGCTCCTCTCTCCCGTGGTTGAGCAGATGTTGTTGCATTGTACTGTTCAGTTGGCCTGCAAACTTGGTGAGACAGCAAATAATGGAAAATTGAGAACAGTACATGAAGTCAATTCTGAGAATGATTTTTTTTTTACCTTTATTTATATAGCGCTTTTAACAATACAGATTGTGTCAAAGCAACTCTTAATTATTAATTATTGATTAATATCCAATTGTGTCTGTTTGGGTTTGCTTACATGTGTAGTATCTGGGGAGCTGCCTCTAGTGTCCTCAGCCGAGGGTAACAAGAGACTCGCTCTTCTGGAAAAGTTTGTAGTTCTGTGGGCTCAGACTCCCTCTCCACCTCTGCACCTTCTCCTCAGTGAACCCACTTTGACTGCTATTTTTAGTGCCACAGATAGTGAGGTAAAACTGCTGATCAGACCTGTTGCATCCTATCCTGTGTGCAGTTTGTGGGTATATTGTTCTATATTTTTGTGATTTAAGTGTTATTTTAGTATTATTTATATACTGTTAGAATATTTAATATTTTAAATTGACTTTATTTATATTTTCAGTGTTCACTTTCATTGTAGCTTAAGTTTTAGTAATTTTGTAATGTGCTTTTATCATTTTTATTAATTTTGAAAATGATTTCTATATAGATTTTTATTTCAGTTTTAGCATTTTTAGTACTTAATCTTATTTCAGTTAGTTACATTTCTAATTAAAGTTCACGTTTTTGTATATTTAGTATTTGTTTTATTTCATATCAGCTTTATTTACCAAAAATTATTTTTAATAGGATACCAAAAAAAATGTATAGTTTTAACAACACTGGTGATTTAACAGTGCTTTGTCCTTTACTATTACAGAGGACTGACTACCTGTTCCTGATAAGACAGCTAATAGAGAGGGGTCTTTTAGGAGAGGAGGATTTGGGCACCAACTGGCCAAAGTTGTCAGCGTTATCTTGGCCAGAGGTAATCGCTTCTTACATGTTATGTGTTTTAGAGATAGCAAAACATTACATTCTGATTCTGGAGTTCTCACAGATCACTGTCTGATAGCTTTTCTCATTTGCTCTTGTAGGAGTCTTCACTGCCTTCACTGCCAAACCACAGGGACATACTGCAGGTCTCTCAATGACCACTAGGGGGACGCATGAGTCTACATTACCAACTGTACACATGAATCCCAGCCAAACACTATTGTATTAACAGCAGTGATGCATATTTGAAGAAAAGAAATAATGTTTAAACCTACAAAATATAGGATTTAAAAAATATTTTAAAGTCTGATTTATTGTTAGTTGCAAGGAGAATATTTGCTGCTGAAGAATGTTGAGTTGATAAGATTGTTATTGACAGTTTATAAACCTTTAAAACACATTTTGTGGGGACATTTTAGCAGGGCTTTGCCAGTTTTCACTTATACTGCCTCACAATAGAACAGGATAAAGACCATTCACTGTGCTGTTTATTTGTTTTAAGTGTGTGTAAATGTTTTTTTGCTTGTTTGTTGGTGAGTATGTCTGTCTGTATGTTTCTTAGTATATATTTGCGGAAAGTTTGCAATTTGTTCATGTTGGACAGTGTTTTCATCTTTTTAATGCTAAACCTATCTAATGTAATAAAATGTAATTTTGTGAATATGTGTAAGTATCTCTCATGTGTTCTTTCATGTAGCTCAGCTGGAGTCCATATACAAGGCTGCACTTCTGACAAATTTCATGGGAATTGACCATTTTAAAATGGAAATCAGGGAGACATCAGGGATATTTCTATAGAGAATATTCATGTTTCCCTGTATAAAAACAGAATTACTCCTGTGATGGTAAAGCTGAATTTTCAGCACCCATCATTCCACTTTTCAGTGTCACATGATCAGAAATCATTCTAATATGCTGATTTGCTGCTCAATAAACGTTTTTTTTTCAATGTTGAAAAACATTTGTGCTGCTTAATTTTGTGGAAACCAATAACGGAACAGCATTCAAAAATAAAGCATTTGTTTAAAATAATGTCTGTAATTTTTAAAAAGTTAACGCGTCCTTGCTAAATTAAACTATTCGTTAGTTTTACAAAATGTTGAACATTAGTCTATATGTTGATAAGATTGTTATTGACAGTTTATAAACCTTTAAAACACATTTTGTGGGGACATTTTAGCAGGGCTTTGCCAGTTTTCACTTATACTGCCTCACAATAGAACAGGATAAAGACCATTCACTGTGCTGTTTATTTGTTTTAAGTGTGTGTAAATGTTTTTTTGCTTGTTTGTTGGTGAGTATGTCTGTCTGTATGTTTCTTAGTATATATTTGCGGAAAGTTTGCAATTTGTTCATGTTGGACAGTGTTTTCATCTTTTTAATGCTAAACCTATCTAATGTAATAAAATGTAATTTTGTGAATATGTGTAAGTATCTCTCATGTGTTCTTTCATGTAGCTCAGCTGGAGTCCATATACAAGGCTGCACTTCTGACAAATTTCATGGGAATTGACCATTTTAAAATGGAAATCAGGGAGACATCAGGGATATTTCTATAGAGAATATTCATGTTTCCCTGTATAAAAACAGAATTACTCCTGTGATGGTAAAGCTGAATTTTCAGCACCCATCATTCCACTTTTCAGTGTCACATGATCAGAAATCATTCTAATATGCTGATTTGCTGCTCAATAAACGTTTTTTTTCAATGTTGAAAAACATTTGTGCTGCTTAATTTTGTGGAAACCAATAACGGAACAGCATTCAAAAATAAAGCATTTGTTTAAAATAATGTCTGTAATTTTTAAAAAGTTAACGCGTCCTTGCTAAATTAAACTATTCGTTAGTTTTACAAAATGTTGAACATTAGTCTATATTCTTTTAAAGCGGAAAAACAACTGTCCTAATTGGCGTACACGGGATTGTAATAAAGCACAGACTTCAGGCCTTTGTTTCTTTTTCCCAAGTTTCATACTATGGCGATGGCTTGGCTCATGAATATTAAATACATACTGACGTTGCTTCGCAGCTATCCCGGACTGACCAGTACAAGTCCTAGTTAATATTTGAGCCACGCCTTATTCACAGAATGATTCGTTCGGCAAATCAAAAAGTTCTGTTGGAACTGACGTCATGCTACCTTCTTAATATTCATGAGCTGATCCTTTGCCATAGTGGGATTCGCAACCTCCCCTCCAGTAGAGACGGCAGGACGTTCCAGCGTTGAGTTCAACTGCGGCCGCGGCTTTATGATGTGCTCTGTGATTGTCTAGCCGATATCAGTAACATGACCCGAAAAACTTGTTATAGATTTCTTCACTCTTCTCGGGAGAATTCAGTGCTCTGGAGGGATTTAAATGGACTCTAACGGACAGCTGAACTTCCAATTCATCGTTTCCCTCCGCCCGGTGTCAAACGAATGGCAAACGTGAAAGTCGCGATTCGAGTCCGTCCGCTGAACTCCAGGTACGATAAGCTTAAGCGAGTTCTATATTGCATTAATTCACTGTAAAAGCGCATGATAAAAACTACTGAATAGTGTCATGTGGAGTTCATAAACAGCCTTGAGTTGTTGGTGCTGTTGCTATGTCTGGGAATAGACCTGCGCTGACAGCCAACTGAAACAAATAAACTGCCATTCAATAAAACTATTTCGTGAGCTCTTTACACACCTCATCATATTGCAAATGTATATTATGTAATATATAAGTAATTGTAACTCTTAACACGTCAATCTAGAGATAAAAAATAAATTATAGCATATTTAAAAAAAAAAGCATAAGCATTGCATACATGCAGTTAATGCATAAGCAGTGCATGTGAAGTTGTATTGAGCAACACTGTGTTTGGTGCACTGTAAATGTACTATAATCTCCATGAATCCCCTTCCCCCATAGGTACTGATACTGTATATTTTTCATATCTTGTTTGTGTCATTTTTACAGAATTGCATTACGTTATGCGTGTTGCATCAGTAAAATCTAATGGATGTGTTTTGCTTTAACTTTTAAAAAAGGGGGTTATCCAGCTATCCGATGATCCATGAGAGCCCACTGCCCCACCCTCCAGCATTAGCCAAATTACTCCAGTATGTGGGTGCTGGACAGGGGGGTAAGAGAAACTCCTCCCAGAATGACACACAAAGCTGTGTGCATGTGTTTGGCCGTAGCCGCTAGCCTTGACATTTAAAGAATCTCCCTGAAGTGTGCATCACAAAGGACGACTGCATGGCTTTCCGTCTCTGTTGTTCAAATGAAGATGGCCTTTTAATAGGCAGCCGTTGGTTTTATGAGTATGCGCATAATAAATATGTGACTTTATGCACTTTGTGCTTTTGTCAAATGCCATATTCTTGAAATAATGTCTTCTTTCTGACTTCAGAGTTTTTGCTGGAAACAAACTAATACTAATTGCTGCAGATGGCAGGAATTGTGTGGGAATAGCACAGAAATCCAAGTTTGTTCTCCTCATAACGAGAGTTATTTTTTTCTTTCCATTGATTATGTTATAAAATGCACCGTCTCTAGGCAAAAGTACACACACACACACACACACTGACAGGCGAAGCAGGCTGTTGTGGTTGCGGGTAGGGCCTCCATTCATCACTGGCAGAGTGAAACAGACCCACATGGAACTACACAAGCTAAGAGTTTCATAACAAGCTCCCAGCATTCAGTGGATGAGTCCATTGCATAAAGGTGTGTAACATCTGCTGCATTATCAGCAGCAAACAGAACTGGAATATAGCTTGATATTGAGCCCTTTTTTGAAAAAAAAAGGGAGATATAATTGTCTTTGCAAAACTTGCTGCCATGATACTAGGGCCTTATGAGTGGTTGCTAGGGTGTTTCTGTGTGGTTGCTGAGGTGTTCCAAAATAGTTTTTAGTGTACTTCTATGTTTTGTATAGGTGGTTGCTTATTAAAAATCAAACAGAGTCAACCCATCCTCAAGCATGTAGCATTTTTTTTTATTTAAAAAAATTACCTGCTTATTATTTGCCCGTTATTATTGGTACTTAATTATTAATAATTTTTCTAATTATCATGTTGGAAACAATATTTTTGGGGAAAACATGATACACATTTTTCATGATACATATTTTTTATTCTTTGATGAATAAAAAAAGTTCAAAAGAACAGCATTTACTTGAAATCGGAACCATTTTATAATATTATAAATGTCTTTACCGTCACTTTTGATCACAAAAAAATGTTTTCAACATTGTTAATAATAATAAGAAATGTTTCTTGAACACCAATTAAATTTTTTATATTATTATTATTATTATTATTGTTTAATAATGATAAAAAAGTAAAAAAAAAAGTATTATTATTAATACTAATAAAAAAGTTAAAAATAAAAAAGTATTATTATTATTCAAAATAAATATTTATTTCATTTTAAGTATTTTAATTTAAAAATTATTAATTTTAATGCTTAGCACATAACCCAGAGTGGACCTGAACATCTTGGTTCTCAGTAATGTTTGATAATCTTTCGTGCAAATATACAGAACCTTTAAACTGCCATAAAATATACTGCCTTTAAAACTGACATCAACAACAGACAGGTAGTCCCGCCCCAAACTCACACCATTGGTTGAGCCAGAAGTTGACGTTGACAATGTATTGAAGGTGCCTCATAGCCACAGTGTGAAAGTCCACATACATATTGCTTACTTCTAGTTGTGTGTGTGCATTAAACTGGACAGGAAAACATATTTTAACACTGAAAAATGACATACTTCAGAATGAAGTTTAGGAAACAAGGCCTTTCCCAGCCTGCTCAAATTGTCAGAGTTTTGTACACAGCCATGCTCCTACACTGGATTTCATTGTCTTGCATCAGTATTATCTGGAACCCGATACTGGAGAGATTGCACAGCTGTCCTCGCTGCTCTCTCACACACTGACACACATATCCTGCACGCTCACGCACACACCTGCTTCAGCTCAGCTGTGCGGCTCATGGAGGAGTTTTCAGCGGTCTGTTTTCATTTGAATCTGACCTTCTCATGCGGCGCAGCAGAGCTGTGCAGACGAATCCTCCAGACCCCCGGCCTCTCACTCCACTGTCCGGTCTGGATATGATCACAGCCAAATAAACATGTCTCTGAGGATTTTAGAAGGTTTATGGTTAACCTGGAGCAAATCAAACCATGCAATATAAAAACAAAAATGTGAAATATCAATGAAGAACTCTATTATCTTGGGGAAAAATGTATGTGAAGAAATGAATTTTGCCACATAGCACTTGATACATTTTTTTTTTCAGGATTCTTTGATGAAATCGAAATCTTTTGTAACATTGTAAATGTACTGTCACTTTTGATCAGTTTAATCCATCCAATTCAACACGAGCATTTTTTGCCTGCATATTTCAAATAACTAGGTCATATTTTACACTTTAAATGGCCGTTTCCCCTCGAGCCTTGGTTAATTTCTGACCCTGTTAACTTATTTTGAACGTAACATTCTCACACGTTCAGTCCTGAATGAGCCTTTAGCCTGTTTTAACAGTCACAAACTTTTAATAAGGCACTAGTTTATAAAAAATTATTAATATGATTGTACTGTAAATGTTTACTTAGCAGTGCTCTGTGCAGTGTCTTGAATATCAGTCTGTTTATTTTTGTTCCGCAGAGAGAGTCTGGATGGAGGACGATTTGCTGTACAAGTGGAAGACAAAGTGGTGAGGGTCCGAAATGTGAAGGTAGGTCTATTTTGGTTGTTATTTTTGCTTGAATATTAGTTCATATTTAATATTTAT